TTTTCATAAGATATCCTTGGAAGAAAGAACTTACGTAGCTTTCTAAAGTGACAAAAACAGTGTATTTTTACTAGTCCACTAGTAGTATAGTGTTGGGCTCACTTTTTCTTGAACATTTAGTTTTTATAGTTTTAGGTAATTAAGATCCAGGAGATCATGGTCATCACAATGAAGCCAAGGCTTGTTTTTTTTTTAGGCATTACGCATTTTTTAGTTGGTAGTTTCTTGAACTTACTGGCACTGTGTGGGTTGATTTAAGGTTGAGTAATTCATGCCATGGTTGTTTAATTTGGTGAAAAGCTAGCTATGACCAGAGAACAAACTGTTAGGAAACGGTCCAGTTTTAAGTTTGAGTGTGTATAAGTGGAGTATTTTGGGTTCATTCATCTCTTGCCAATCTTAGTTGTTAAGTAATCTTCTTGCGTTTCATATTTACATCATCCTCAGAATCTTGTGTTTCTTGTCACTCTCATAAAAACTGACTCTGGTTTTTAAGGTAGGACTTCATGCTTAGAGTTAACCAGGAAAAGCCTCATTTATATCTCTTGCAAGAAGGACAGAGGGCCTGCTCTGTGTACTCGCTGCCAGAAGTTTTTATAGTAATACTTTGTATCTAGGCTCTGGCTCTTACCATTAAATGTGCTTTTTATAGAGTACCAAGTTATAAATGTAGTGCAGCTACGGCATATTAATCTTACTGCAGAGATTTAATGAGGCAATTGTTTTGCGATGGACACTATTGGGAGCAGAGAGCGACAGAGTTTTACTTTACCACTGAGCTGCAGAAATATTCCTTGCCTGGTAATAATTATAACCACATGATCTCTTAGTTTTTCTTTCTTTTGCCAGTGCTTTTCCATGCAAAAGTGGCTTGGAAGGAGGTCCATTTCTAGGCAGTGAAATGGATTGGAAATTGGGCTGTTTTCTCAGTGGTTTGACATTTTAGCTTTGATCAGGCATGGGATCTTTGTAGCAAAGAGAGAAATATGTAAGATGAGTTTCAAGAATACAGATAGTCTTTGCCAGTCCACTGAGATGGCTTTTAGATATTCATTACTTTTACTTGACTTTTATATAGGTTATAAAAAGTAAATGTGGTGAAACCTCATTTTTACATGGACAAAATAGAATTTCTGCTGGTTGGCCTTAAACTGATCCCACACTTGAAATTAATTGAAGTCCATGGGTTTATTGCCTCCAACACTTTTAAGCCAGTGCAATTTTTCATTTTCCCTAAAGTTGTAATTTTATTAAACCAAGTTACAGCAATAACAACTCTTATGAAGAGGAAGATGAGAAGAAGGAAAGAACCACCTGCCAAGGAACATAATAAGGGGAAAGCATACTTCTTTTAAATTTCCATTTGTAAGTAATGTTAACAAAATTGGAAACAGAAAGCTGCCATTAATTTTTTTAATAATAATTGTGTCTTTGTTCCAAAATTAAGCCTTTTATCCAGGTCAGAACACTATAAATCTAGTGCTTCATAACACCCTTTGAAGGGATGAGCTGGAAAGTTGGCTGTGCAGGTGAGATCATTAGTGATGGATGTAACATGTTTGGGAGCATCCTTTAGGGGAAAGGACAGAGAGAGTTGCCTGCAGCTATGACGGGGTTTGTAGTTGCAGTGCAGGGGGTATGTGGATATTTAAAATATTGCCCTTTGGGTGAGTGTAGAACACAACAATGGAGTTGGAAGAACAGCTGTCCTTCTTACAGTAGTGTTGGGGGCAGGGCAGTACTTACAGGCAGGGACCTTGTATTTATAACCCCCTCTGGTTGAAGTCAGAGGTTTGAATGGCTAGCAGAGTAATACAATTATTTTTTATGATTGGATCTCAAAGGACTTTATAAAAACTACATAACTAAGGCTATGTGCAATTATTGAAGTGTAGCCACCTGTGGGAAAGGAATGGTTGACAATGGAAGCTTTCTCGAATCTTCTTACATCAACTGACATTAGGAACAGAAACCCCTAACACGTATAAACACATCTTTTGAATGGGTGAGAAAGAATTCTTCATGAAAGTGGAGGTTGGAAAAAATCTACTTACAAAGAGAGAGACTGAGATTCCAGCGCTCATTATGCCAAGGCATCAAAGGCTATAATCGCACCCACCCCCAGAGGGTCCCTCTTAAGTGGTGACCTAAAAACAAATTCGCCAGTTGGCTGGAGCATTCATCCTAAAGTTGCAGCAGAAGTGAATAAGCTTGACTGACTTCAGTCCCTGAAGGGTTCTATCTGTAAATGCAGAAGTGGAAGCAAAAACATTTTATATTAGTCTTAAAATGACCCTCATGTTAATAACTAGCTATAGTATCAGAAGCATGGACTAGAGTCATTCTTTAGCTTTTAAGAGGTAAAACATCATGCATGAGTTCCTGTTTGTTTGATATTTTTGATATTGGATTCTTGTAAAGTGTCCATATTCTTGAATAATAAGGAAGGTGAGTTTTTATCATTTTTATCTACATACTACTTAAAGTATTCAGAGTGTCTCCTTATTTAAAAACAAACAGCCCCGCAAACTTGATGTGTAGCATTTAAATAATCATATTAAAATTCAGACCTAGCACTCACATTTCCCTGAGTGCTGTCAGTTTTATGAGAAACTGGAAACTCATGCTAAACAACTGACAGTATTCAGTGTGTGCCTGCTACCTTCCAACAAGTGTTTAATGGTGGAGGGGCCAGTTTGCCATAATTGGGACTGTTATTTATTTTCCTGAATTATTCTCTAATTTGGCGGTATTTTACCACTTGGTTTTAGTTTGTTGGATATCTTTGAACCATTACTCATTTGTTGCATCTGTGGGTCTGGATGAAACATTTGAAACCAGCAAAGTGAAACGTGGTCGATCATATAGTGTTGATTTGGGAAAATGTAGGCACGTAGGCACTTTTTAATTCGGAGGTAACTGGTCTGTTCCTGTTTACAGAAAAAATACCAGTAAAGGACTTTTTTATGTACTCTTTTTTTTCCCCCTCCTCTCCCTTCTCATCATCACTAAATAATATTTACTAAGCACTCACCTGGACACAGTGCTGTGCTGGGCAAAGTACAACACAGACGAAAAAGATCCTGTGATTACTCCCCCAGGAAGGAGCCGACAAAACTCCAGTATATTGAAATGGGCACTGTGTAGAGTGTTGAGATAATAATTTTCCAGATGGCAAATCAACCCAAATTACCAATTTACTTAAACACTACATTCGTTTTTTAAAAAACAAACAAACAAATCTACTTGCTTTTTGAGATGGGAATTCTGCTTTTTTGCATGAACCCAAGAGATTATGATATATGTTGAAATGTGAGTTGATTTTGGCATATGCGAATCATTAGAAGGGTGGCGATATAGTTAATTTTATTGCAGATGTGAAGTAAAGCCTTGAAACAAGTGCCAGAAAGAAAAGGAGCATAGTGACTTGTAGAAGGAGGGCTCGTAGCAGCCCGTTATGTGCAAGGTAGCAGAAAGCACTTGAGACAGCAGGATGGTGGTGGCGTGCATTATGGACTTTTCTAAGAAATCTGGGCTAATTTTGATTCTGCGAATTCTTTTTTTTTTTTGTGAGGAAGATCAGCCCTGTGCTAACATCTGCCAATCTTCCTCTTTTTTTTTTTTGCTGAGGAAGACTGGCCCTGGGCTAACATCCATGCCTATCTTCCTCCACTTTATATGGGATGCCGCCACAGCATGGCTTGCCAAGTGGTGCGTCGGTGCGCGCCCGGGATCCGAACTGGCATACCCTGGGCCGCCACAGCGGAGCGCGCGCACTAAACTGCTTATGCCACCAGGCCAGCCCCGCTGATTCTGCGAATTCTTGATTATAACATTTCAAATATTTATTCTCCCTTTTTAAAAATATTTGACTACAGATAATGCTTTGCATATTTCTTAGGTACCTTGATAGAACTGTTTTGTAACTGTTTCATTGACTACTGACTACTCTATTTTGAGATGTAATTTATATCTGACTTTGGAGGACTTTTTCTATTAGAAATTAATGTACCATAAATTAAGTCGCAGGTTATATTATCCTAATTTCCCCCAAAGAGGCATATTCTCTCCCCCTTTGCTTTCCTGCAAAGAGGAGCAGTGGCAAGAGGATGTTTGTGGATACCCCTCTACAATGAGTTGAAGGACAGCATGAATAATCAGAAAGTGTTTATTGAGTTCCAAGTTAAAAAATCACGTGTTTAGCTCTCTTATCCCCCCTTGCTATTTATGTGTGTATCATTTTTAGGGTTAGAATGGATCTGTTTTTAGTTTTCCTACTATTTAGCTTCTTGACATTGATAATGCCAACTCAAGTTGTTGACTTGATTATAATTTACATTTGCTCTTGGCATATTCTGTTTCATTTTTTGATGATTTTGAAAACAAGAGACATGCCAATACACTTACACTTGAACTTGTGTGTATAAGAATGTTTTGCTGTGTAGTAGAGCTTATTTTGCTATCGCTGTCTAACAAATAATGGGATAACTGTGTGTTTTGACCAGTTTCTAAGTAAAGGTCAATTTTGTGCCTAAGGTAATTAGCTTAGCTTATTCTAGACTTTTGGCTAATTCTGGTAATTTCCCATGAAAGAGTATATTTAGCAGAAAAGGAATTCCTTCTTAAGCACAGTGTTTTTTTTTCCTTTGCATTGGAGACTGTTTAATTTTAAGTGATTTATCTCTCTCTTTTAAGCAAAACCCCTGAAAGGCTATGAAACGACGGCAAGGTTGACCTTAAGGGTGGGTGAATTATTTGAAGGAGGAGATGGGAAAAGGCCTCTGTGGTGGAGGAGAAAAGGAAAAACTTCAATCATCACCTACTAAAAAATTTTAGGGAAGACTCACTTTTGGTTCTTCTGTAATAAAATCTGCAAGGAAACCCTCCCATTGCAGCTTCAAGGAAAATAGTGTTTCTGTTTTTAGTGGCAAGAAGATTAAACGTTACTTTAAAAGAACCTGTCTTTAAACCCCATACTTATAGTCTTGATTTTCTTTCAGACCCCAACTGTAAACTTGAAGACAAGACTGAAGATGGAGAGGCAATAGACTGTAAGAAGAGGCCGGAAGATGGAGAGGAGTTGGAAGACGAAGCTGTGCACAGCTGTGACAGCTGCCTCCAGGTGTTCGAATCACTGAGCGATATCACAGAACACAAGATTAATCAATGTCAGCTGACAGGTAAACAATACTTATCACTTCTTGTCTTCTCATACTGTTCTATTTCTGATTTTTTTCAGTTTGTTCCTTTTTTTCTCTCTTCAAATTGTTTTGCTCCTACACTCAATACCTAGGTAAGCCTAGAAGAGCTTTAGAAAGAATTCTAAGATGGTGGTTTGCAGCAAACTCAATGTCAAAGTCCTTCTTAGATTTTGAATTGTTCCTAGATTTTAAAACGAATGGGTAGATTTTCATTTTCTTTCTTTTTTTTGAACTACATGATGCCATGTAGGTGCAGAACCTAACATTGGGTGGCTAAAATAAAGTTTAAAAAAACCTTTTGAATATTTCTTCAAAGAATTTTAGCATGTATTTTTTAAATACATATATTTTTGCAAAGAATTATTAGCTTGTGTATTAACTTATTTTAGCTTAAATATCATCTGCTCAAGGGAGCTTTCCCCTATCCCTCTCTGCCTGAATTAGCTGCCTTTTTCTGTTCTCATAAAGTCTGATGCTTATTCTTGAATATCAGAATTTTCACTGCAGGTGGTTCACTTTTCCATCCCGCTCGTTAGATTGAATTCCTGTGGATGGCAGGAACTGCGTCTTATTCATCCTTGTATTCTCTGAGCCTTGCATAGTGCCGGCCCACCGTAGCTTTTCCCTGTTGTAGGGAAGCTCTTCTGCTCTACAGTTCATGGGAAGAATCAGATTTAGAATGACATGAAGTGTGACGTGTTCAGTTTAATGGCTGAATAAAACTAAAACTCAGTTTACTAAATTTCTACCCTCTTTCAAAATATATCCTACAAGAGCATACTGTATGAGGCTGGGTGGGACATTTTAGATAGATATCTTTTTTTAAGTTCATGTCATTTTTCTCTTACTATTTGAAGTTGACCTACTCCTGTGTGTGTGTGGGTGTGTCTGTAGTTCTCTCTCTATCTTATTTTCCTGGCACAAATCTTTCTTCAATTAACTATGTATAACAAATGTATTTACCAGACAAGTAGTTTTCCACAAAATATTGATATTTTTGTAAGATTTTGATAGGTATTCCATTTTAACCAGGTTTCCTGAACAGATTATTGTGGAAATGTTGGATTAAATCCAGTTGAGCAGCCTTCTTTATTAAAGTGCACTGTGGCTCTTCAAGAAGGGATTACAGTAAGTTTATTAGGCCATAGAATCTTCGTTCTTTCAGAAAATCCATTGTCATTTTTTGGGACATAAGTTTAGGAATTGTTGTAGCTTATATAAACATTGGCCATATACATATTTTTTTGTGTTATTTGGTAACTTTTATTTTGATATAATTCTAAACTGACAGAAAAATTGCAAAAATAATATGTGTAACTCCCATGTACCGTTTACCTGATTCACCAATTATTTACATTTTACCTCATTTGCTTTATCATTGTCTCTCTCTTTCATCAATTCTTTTCTTAATCATTTGAGAGAAGGTTGGAAACATCACACCTCTCTAAATATATCCTGTGTATTTTCTAAGAGCAAATACATTCTCTTGCATGACCACAGCACACTTATTGAAATCAGGGAGGTTAACGTTTAACACCATAAAATACTATTATCTAATCCATAATCAATATTTAAATTTCAACAGTTATCCCAATAATGTCCTTTATGGCTTTTTTTTTTTTCTCATCCTGGGTTCAAGATCATGTATAGCATTTAATTGTTGTGTCTTTTTTGCCTCTTTTCACCTGGAATGATTTCTCAGCCTTTCTTTGTCTTGCTTGACTATGGCACTTGTTAAGAGGACCTGCCAGTTATAGTCACGTGCCACATAACAATGTTTCGGTCAATGACGGACTGCATATACGATGGTGGTCTCCTAAGATTAGTACCATACAGCCTGGGTGTGTAATAGGCTGCACCATCTAGTTTGTGTAAGTACATGCTGTGATGTTCACACAGCGATGAAATCACCTAACGCTGCATTTCTTAGAATACATCTCTGTCGTTAAGCATGACTGTACTTTATAGAATACCCATCTACATTTGCGTTTGTCTGATGTTGCCTCATGATTAAATTCAGGTTATATACTTTGATGTTCCACCACCAAAGTGATGTTGTGCCCTTCTGAGTTTACCAGATCAGGAAGTATTTGATGTTGATTCATCCCGGTGTTGATGATGTTAACATTGAATACTTGTTTAAGGTGGGTCCACCAACTTTCTCCAGTGTAAAGTTACTATTTTCCCTTTGTAAATAATAAGTAATTTGTGGGAAGATACTTTGCCACTCTGTAAATATCCTCATCCTCACAAAACATCCATTTTAACTCCATAATTTCTGTATTTATTAGTTGGCTTTCTACTATAATTTCCTTTCTTACTCATTCATTTATTTGTTTATTCATATCACCATGGCTTTTGGATATTTATTTTATTCAGTGGGTCATAATTCATTACTATCATTATTTTGATGCCCAGATTGCCCAAGATTTAGCCAGTGGGAGTCCCTTCAAACTGGGTCTTGAGTCAGTTTAATATGTCTCCATGATTATTTGAGGACTTAGTTTCTGCTGCGGACAGATGCTCCAGGCTCATCATGTTCTTGTCCCAGTCCTGCAATCAGCCTTTTTTCCAAGGAGCCCTGGTTCCTTTAAGAGGACAAAGGTATTTAGAAACCAAGGCATAGGTGCTTCGTGTGCTCATTGCTATAGCTGTATCATTGATTATAGACCCTGTCAGCAGACAAAATTAGGAAATGTATGCATATATTTAATATAATACACACATAATATAGTTCATAAAATATACACATATACAAATATAAACACATACATATATTTTTCTCTATCTAATAAGAACTATGTGTTCATATTGATACCTCTAATTCAATCCAGCATTTCAGGTACATCCCAGTCTTTTTCCTTTCCGTATTTGTCACTACCTTCTTTGGCAGTGAGAAACCTAGCTTCCATCATCCTCAATATGTTTACTCATTTGCTTGAGTCTAGAATATATATTAGTTTCAGAATTGCTTACTCATACCATTATGATAAACAGACCAACTAACTAGAGTAATAGTTGTTTATAATTATTAATGCTATAATTTTTAATGTAACATTTACATATAGTGAAATTTATAAATAATAAGTATACAATTTGTTGAATTTTGACAAAATACATGCACTCACGTGACACACATCCCTCTTAAGACACAGATAATTTTATGCATCCTAGAAATTTCCGAATTTCCCTCATACCACTTTCCAATCAATAAAACTCCACCAGAAGTAACCAGCTTTTAAGTTTTTTAACCATAAATTAGTTTTGCCCATACTAGAACTTCTTTTAAGTGCAATTACACAGTATATACTCTTTTTTTGTGTCTGCTTCTTTTGTTCAGCATAAGGTCTGCGAGGTCCATTCATGTTGTATATATGAGTAATGTGTCCATTTTTATTGCTGAGTAGTCATACGTCATACGAATATATCATAAATGATTTTCCATTCTGTTGGTAGACATTTTGGTCATTTTTAGTTTTTGGTTATTATGAATAAAGTTGTGAACTTTCCTATATAGGTCTTTTTGTGGACATATGTTTTATTTCTCTTGAGTTAGTAAGTAGGAGTAGAATTGCTGGGTCATGAAGGGGTGGTAGTGGGATGTGTTTAACTGTATGAAAAACTTCTGAACTTTTTTCCAAAGTGGTTGCACCATTTTATGCTCCCACTAGCAATTTCTGAGAGTTCCAGTTGTGCACACTTGCTAACATTTGTGTTGTCAGTCTTTTTAATTTTAGCATTCTGCTGGGTGTTTGTTGGTATCCTTTATGGATTTATTTACATTTTCTAGCTCATATACATTTAATTGACTTCATTTATTGCGTTTTTCCCTCAGAATGCATAATTTTTTGAGAATCCCATTAAAAGCAGACCATTAGTAAGATTCTTTTTTCAGTGTAATAGATGATGCTTTAAAGGAAACTCTGCTCATCACTAACATTAGGGTAAAGACATGGGAACTTGACTGACATGGGCAGTATATACTATGCCAGCAAGAAATCTTACCTTAGTAAGACTGAGTTATTAAACAAATTTCAAATTCAATTTAGTGTTTACTTTTTGTTGAGTTTCTGCCATACAGTTTTCTTTATATTCAGCCCTGTGAAATTGAAGTAAAAGACATTATTCCTTTATAACTTTACATATTATAAAATATATATTTCCTTATATATTATACAACTTTAATATCAGTGCAGAAAATGCTGGAGTTTCAGCACATGGTATGGTGAAAATAATATTTATGGGTTAAATACTGTTTTTTGTCAAAAATAAAAAAAACCCCCAAACTCTAATAAAATATTTGGCTTATTTTGATTTTAAGCTTTCTAAAAGCAGGGAATCTGGTCTGTGCTCATACACTACATTTTAATCAAATGTGGGAAAACAGAGGCTTATTTGTGAATTAATGAAACACGTTTCAGAAACGATAAGTCTGAGGGGCCTTGGTCCTGTGTGGTGGTGTTAAGGATGATTTCTTGGGGAGAGTGGTAGACTGAGGAGGAAAAGCAGAAGTGGAGGATCAGGGAGAGAGCAACAAGGTGGGGAAACAAAATCAGGAATCTTTCACATTTGTTGAAGGTGTTAAAATTGAGACTTGAGTTAGCCAAGGGTACCCTGCAGTCTAATCTGGAACAGATTCAAGACACTGGAAGCATTTTAATTAAAAAAGTACTAAGATGCTTTTACCTTTCTCCTTGGTTAAAGTGTTTTAGTGTAAGTTAGGAGTCCGACTCTTCCAATTTTTGCTTCCTGTTGCTTGAGTTCATTCTTTTTAGGTGCTGCTGCTGCTGCCTTTCCCTGATGGACAAAGTGCTCGCATAGCAAAGGAGGGTATTTCTAGTTGTTTTCTCTTTCCCTCTTAATTTTACTCCTTCTTTCATTGTTCTTTTTCATTCTTTTTGTCTGACTTCATCCAGCCCCATTTGTATCTTTGCTAATTTTCCTTTGATTCCTGTCCTTTCTCCAGACTCTTAATTTCC